GGATAAAATAGATGAATGGGACCTCCTAAGAATCAAATCCCTATGCACATCCAAAAACTTCTCCAACAGGGTAAAAAGGGAAGCCACAGACTGGGGAAAAATATTTGGTAATGACATATCAGATAAGGGATTTATATTTAGAATTTATAAAATACTTGAGCACCACAACAAAATAAAGGTAAGCAACTCATTTGAAAAATAGGCACAGGATATGAACTGATACTTCACCAAAGAAGACATTCAGATGGCCAAAAAACACATAAGAGATGTTCAAAATCCCTAGCTCTTGATTTTAGATGTTCGAAATCCCTAGCTCAAGAGAGATGCAAATCAAAACAACTATGAGATAATTATCTCACCCTAGTAAGAACACCAAAATTTAATGGAACAGCAAACATCAAATGCTGACGAGATTGTGGAGAAACTGGAACCCTTATTCACTGTTGGTGGGAGTGTAAAATGGTGCAACCACTATGGAAGGCTATATGGCGCTTTCTCAAAAAAGTTGCAAATAGAAATACCATTTGACCCAGCAATTCTACTACTTGGAATATACCCTAAAGAAGCCATAACCACCATCCAAGCAGATATATGCACACCCATGTTTATTGTAGCTTTGCTCACAATAGCAAAGAGTTGGAAGCAATCTAAGTGCCTATCAACAAATGGATAGAGAAGCTGTGGTATATTCACACAATGGAATACTACACTTCATTAAAAAACAAGGAACTTGTGAAATATTATGCTGATTGAAATATCTCAGTCACGAACAAATACTGCATAGTGCCACTGTTGTAAAATGAGACTGACATCGATGTTGAGGGGAGACTGAGAAAGAGGGGATAAATAATGTATACTGCATTGAAACAGATGAGGGAAAGAACTGTTTAAAAAGGGGTATTTGATTAGGTATTATTGTCATGACAGGTGTCCGGAATAAAGGTTGCATAGTGGAGTGGACTTGGGGGGTAGGGATGGTATAACAATGAAAGAATTTTTCTTTTACTTTTCAAAGAGAAGAATGAATTTGGGGGGCAGGGAGAAAAGTGCAACAATGAATGGAAATCTAAAGTCTCAAAGTCTCTGTAAACTGTCTTTAAAATGAATTAGAAAAAGTGAAGGCTGTTAAAATATATATATATATGTGTGTGTATGGGAGAGAATGCAACCCATCGTCATCTTTTTCAACTGGCAGGAGCATTGCAAATAACATCAAGATCTTTGTCCCTTCCTATCACTCATTCATTGCTGCAGCTTTGTAGCTGACCCTCCATAGGCTGTTCCTTGCACAGGAGGTGATTGCCCATCTTCCTGACTCAGAAGAGCTAGTGGATTTGAACTACCTGCCCTTGGATTAGCAGGGTAAGAGTATATACACTCTGCCACCAGAGCTACCTATATTCATTCCTACAGGACTACATTCTAGACAATATTCACAATGCCCAGGCATTGGGAGTGATGGTTGTCTCACAGGCCACTATTCACTCTATAAATGGTGGCTGCAACTGTGTAGTCAGCATGGCGCCAGATAAACAACTGTGTAGGAGATGAGGGTGTTGTTACAGCCAAAAATCATTGCTTCTTGTCCTTTCTTGCTCCTCATTTCTTCTTCTTACCAGAATTTGTTTCTTAGGGGTCCACTGACATTTCCAGTTTTCAAAGCCAACCCTTAAGTATGTGACTAGTGTTTATTTTACAACATGGAAATAGTATTTTAATTGTAGATAAAAATTTCTCTAGCTGGCTCTCAAAAATTAATGAAGTGATCTTTTTGTAAGACAAATGACTTTATTCTGTATTAGCCAAATGTTCTTCACTTAGAATTCTTCTGACGTCTCTGCACGTTATACTGACCAGCATATTCCTCCTACCTCTCCTTCAGATCTTTGCAGACACTTTGCATCTTCCTTGTTCCATTGATTAGGTTAGTCTCCTAATGCTATACACATTCAACATGTCTTCTGCTTCCTTCTCTCATCGCCTTCACTATGACTGGGCTCTCTTCCTCACCATACTCCAAACTGTAGAGGGTAAGAGCCAGAATCTGGCTTGTTTGCTGCTCAGAATGTCTCACAATGCTTAGCACCTATTAACAAAATAACCATACTTGCTGGTGTTGAAGGAGCTCTGGTGGCCCACTGGTAAGGACTTGCACTGCCAACCCAATAGCAACGTAAATCCACCAGCTGCTCCATGGGAGAAAGATGGAAATATCCTTTCATGCCCTTTAACAGCCTCTGAAAATCCACTGGACGGCCACCAATGAGTAGGTTCTGCCTCTATAGCATACAACAACAACAACAACAATTATTGAGTTAGTTCTGATTCACTAGAGTACCTGGTGAATTTGAACTGTGGAACCTTAGGATTAACACTTAACCTGCTACACCACTAGTTTTCCTTGATACCTATTTAGGGACTCAGTAAATGCTATGTGAAATTGTTAAATGAGCAAATTATTTTCCCTTTAATTAATGAGTAACTTCAATATCTCATTGCCATCAAGTCAGAACCAACTCCTAACTGGCATTGCCTTGGGCCTCTGAGGCTCTGCGATACATGGGTGGAGTTGTCCATCTCACTCTCTTGGAGCTGTTGGCAGATTGGAACCCCAGCGGGCACTCTCTTGCAGTTAGCACTGCAGCACTTGTATGTTATAATCAACTTTGCAAAAAAATATATGTGATAAAGCTATAAACCTTAGAGGAACATACAACTATACAAATGATCACAGATTTGTTATTTTTATGGAGCCATACAGCCTACAGATGTCAATGTTGTCATTTTCTTCCCTAATTCTCATAATCACATAGAGCAGGACTTGCTATCCTTATATAAGTCTTAAGGAACTGATACCTAGACATGTATTCAGTTTTTCAAAACTGTGAATGGATAGCAGTGACTTAGTTATAAGATCCAAGCTATTTCATATCACCACATTCTCTTAATAGTAAGGTTTTTTCTTCTTAACTTCCAGAAGCGTAATTGTTGTTATGTTCCATACCATCAAGTCAGAACTGACTCATAACTGACCATCCAGCTAAATCACAAGGGAGGAGATTTCCCATCTTTCCTCTGAGGAGTATCTGGTGGATTCAAATCACATGCTTTTGGATTGGCAAGTACAGCTCCTTACCCTAGACCCCAAGTTGTTGTTGTATACCATCGAGTCGGAAACAACCCACAGCTGATCCTCCAGTGGGTTTTAAGAGGCAGTAACATCATGAGAGGAGAGCTCATCCTCCTGCAAAGCAGCTGGCAGATTTGAACTGCGTGTCTTTGGGAATGCAGCACATATTCTTACCACTAGACTATGAGTGCTCCCGGGCTGCCAGAGTTCCCTTAATTATATCCTTTCATTCCAATTTATTTGCAATTGGGTCAATATTGTCTTTTCCACCAAATCATTTGCATAAAGAGATTAGGAGCCTAGAAGCCATTTGAGGAGCGCTGACGACACAGTGGTCAAAGTGCTCTGCTCTTAGTCCAAAAGTCAATGGTTCAAACCACACAGCTGCTCTGAGAGAGAAAGATGTGAAGTCTGTGCCCATCCATTATAGAGTTGCTATCAGTAAACTGTACAGAAACAACAGCAATGAGTGAGAGGCCAGCTGGTCTAGAATTCGTTTGTGCTAAATGTAGGTCTTCCACTCCCTTCATTATCAATATGTCTTGCCAAGTTGTTGGTGTTTTGTACCATTGAGTCGGAACCCACCCGTAGCTGACGCTCCAGTGGGTTTTCAGAGACTGTTAGTCTCATGGGAAAAGATTGCCCATCCTTCTCCTACTGAACAACTGGTGGCCTCAAACCATGTGCCTTTGGGATTGCAGCACAGCTTCTTGCCAGTAGGGCAAAAGAGTTCCTTATGTTTTGCTCTATCAGTGTCAGTTTTTGACTGTACACCAACATATGCTACCATGCCAGGATATGGTGGGGAGGTTGCTGGCTTCCACTGCAAAGTAAGCTGGGGGATTATGTACCATATGCAAAGTCTTGTACAAGGGTCAGCAAAGTGGGTTCCTTTTGAGCAGACTGACTGCCAGAAGACCCTTAATGACTGGATTTCCTTGGGAAAGTGTAGGCATTGCCCTGCTTGTCTGCAGTAGGTTATGATGCACAGATATGGGTGTTACTGAAATACAATGTCCCTTTGTTTCGTTTTTGCTTCAATTTCACAGAGCAAACAAAACAGGGTAAGGAGATAAGTATCACAGCCTCTGCAGGCTCTTTTACTTCACAGCTGGAGTCCCTACCCAGGGATCTGAGGACTCTCACTGTCCTCATGTATTAGAGTATTTATCACTCTTTCACCTTAAGAAATTACCTTATAAATTACTGCTTCACCCTAAGTTGTTCTACTTAGGTTGACCTAGAACTCCAGCCCCTTTCTGTCTTTACATACAATGCTCCAAATATACTCACTTACTGTGAGGATACCTAGAACCTGTAGCTTTCACCTGATTTAAATACCATAGTGTCCTATAGGAACAGGGACCTTCATTTGTAGTCCCACTGCTGTTGCTTTGTATTCTTATTGAATATCCTGTCTGTAATAGACACTGTTTGCAAAGTGGTTTCTATTGCACTTTTAGATTAAGTGATCTGAATTGGTGTATAATGTACTAGCACATATTGCTTGAGTTTAATGTATTGAACATATTTTCTATTAGGACTCAGAGATTAACTGAAACGTGCTCTGTCGCAAGGCTATAGACTCACATTCACTAGTGAAGAAGAATGAAATACAATGAACTTGGCTCCTAGAATGACAGGATATGGAAAACTGCATTGGAAGAAGACGGATTCATATTGACTTTTAAAGACCATTATTACTTCTTCCAGATAGTGAACAAATAAGTCAATGACATTTTAAATACAACCTTAGTTTCAAATTTCCATTCCTTTCCCCTTCATTCTTTGAAAGTAGAAACTAATGTCTATTACCAGAGTGTGCATGTATTTCTGGTGATGAATCTTGCATTTCTCTTGTTTTTTGCAGTAATAAACGACTGGTGGCCTTAGTGCCCATGCCCAGTGACCCTCCGTTCAATACACGAAGAGCTTACACCAGTGAAGATGAAGCCTGGAAGTCGTATCTGGAGAATCCCCTGACGGCAGCCACCAAGGCGATGATGAGTATTAATGGTGACGAAGACAGTGCTGCCGCGCTTGGTCTGCTGTATGATTACTACAAGGTAGACCCTGCAACCCACCCTGCCCATGGGCAGCCCCACAGTCACCCCTCAGTGGGCAGACTTGCTCACATACCCACACACACAACCCCCCCCCCCCACACCCCGTTACTATCACGTAGCTCCTGAGTCCCGGCAACCCCGTGCACACAGTAGATCTGCTGCATAGGTTTTCTTGTACTGTAACCTTTACAGAAGCAGATAGGTCACCAGGGCTTTCTCTAAGGTGCTGGCGTTGGTGTCTTTGAACCTTCAACTCTTAGGTTAGAAGCAGAGCATAGACTGTACTATGCAGGGACTTGTGAAGACATTGAAAAAGGAAACAAAGTTAAACAACAAGAAGCCACTTCGTTGGTGTCTTTTCCTTGCTGGTGGCCCACCATCCAGTTTCCAAGCCTGTAAATCTTAATTGGAACAGACTGCCTCATCTTTTTCCCATGGAATGACTGGCAGATTCAAGTGCCAACTCTTCAGTTAGGAGCCCATACCAAAGTTTTCTAAATTCAGAAGGCATAGATTGATTTATTTACTTATTTTTTTTTTACCTTGGGCCAGAGAACTAATAATATTTCCACTCTTGCTATAGAATTGAACCTTAAGTCTTCCTGCTTTCATTGTCTCTCTCCTATCCCAGCTGTGGAAGCATTTTCACTCAAAGAAGTTTGCATTTTATACATTTATTGTGTCCCTTGTCCACATGCATAGATTTTAGGTATATAATTCCTACTTAACGTCATATTATAAATGCTTATTTGTGGTAAATTTTGTATTTATGCTTTATAGTGAACAAAAAGTATTAAATTGTTTGGGCCAGGCCATAATTTAAGTAATTGTAGTCCATTTGTTGGGCATTTAGATTGCTTCTTGACTATGTAATTTTATACGAAATGTTCAGGATTTTTAAATTTTATAAGAAACAATTTAATGACTAAATTTGTGGAACTCTTCTGCAGCATTTCCTGTTTCTGGTTGTTTCAATGAGTACTATATCTTTTAATTAAAATAAAATGAATGTAGTTAATTTACATTAGTAAAGATACTTGCCATACAATACATAACAAAAAAATCAATCAAGAAGCAAAAATCTGAAAACCTACTAACTGCGGAAAACATTTGGCAACACCATTTCAGACAAGGGTCTCATGTAAAAGTTTACAGAATCCTATAGGATCTCTACAAGAAAAAGACTGCTAGCACAATTACAAAATGTGCAAAAGACATGGAAAGACTTTTTGCAGAAGAAGATATTTGGATGGCCAATAGACACATGAAAAAATGCTCAAAATCACTGGCAATAAGAGAGATACAAATCAAAACCACAATGAGATACCATCTTACCCCAATAGCAGTGGCAAAGTTTAACAGGACAGTAAGTAAAATATGTTGGAGAGGATGTGGAGAGATAGGAACTCTTATACACTGTTGATGGGATTGTAAAATGGTACAATCTCTCTGAAAGGCAATTTGACATTTCTTCAAAAAGCTGAACATAGAAATTCCATACGACGAATTCCACTGCTTGGAAAATACCCCAACAGAATTATAATTGAGGCAAAAAAAAGGAGATTTGTACACCAATGTTCTCTGTAGCATTATTCACCATCACAAGAACATGGAAGCAGCCCAATTGTCAAAGCACAATCGAATGGATTGAGAAATTATGGTACATTCACATGATGGAATACTACACAGCACGCAGTAGCAGTCAGTGATTTTGAAAATCACTACCTAACTTGGGAGGGTCTGGAGAACATTATGCTAAGTGAACTAACTCAGTCCCATAAGGGCAAATACTGTGTAAGACCATTATTGTAGAAATAGAAAGATAACTAGTAGAACGTGTATGAGTATCCCAGGGAGGGGAGGGGGGAGCAGAGGGGTGAGGATGTGTAGGAGGGTAATCATAGGGTCGCAAAATTTGATGAGTGGAGGAAGGGGTGAGTAAAGGAAATAGGAAAGATCTGGTATGAAACAGAATGTATACGAACTTTTAAAGTAAACCAGTATAAAAGAAAAGTTTTATTTATTTATTTATTTTAAAAGAAGCAAAAATCCGTCACAACTATAAATCAACTATACCTGGTATGACCTGCTACTTTAGAAATGTTGAAGTGGGGCAAAATTGACAAGTATTTGCTGAGTGAAAGATTTATTGCCTACTTTGACATGCTTGGCTGATGCTGGGAGTTGGCACAGAGGTGAGAATGGCTGTTTTGCTAGTTGGACAAAATAGATTCCACTCTCAGGATAAAGCCCAGCTGCCCTGTGGTCCTCACAAAGTTACTCAGAGAACATACATTTCCTTTCAGTGATAGTCAGCTTCCTCTTTGCTTCTGATTTCTTAATGAATTAGAAGAGCATATCCCAAGACAAAAGTAATTTGTGCTTTATGACAACAATATGCTGGCAATTGTTGTTAGGTGCTGTCTAGACTATTTTCAATTCGTAGTGACCCCATGTGACAGAGCAGAAGTACCACTGGCTTTTCTTGGCTACAATCTTCAAAAAAGTAATCAATCACCTGGTCTTTTCTCCTTCAGAGTCTCTGGTGGCTCCGAACTGCTAACTTTTCAATTAACAGCCAAGTGCTTACTCTCTCTGTCCCCAGGGCTCCTTAGAGGATAATCAAGTGGTAATAACTATGAGAACCAGATTACTTCTTTTCACATACTTCTGCTATCTATCATTTAAAGGAAAATTGAAGTACTATTTTCAATAAGTATTTTGAGACACAGGATGGGGAGTTTTACGTTTAAGTTGTAGTCAAACCTAGAAGTCTGTGGAATTAATATTTTCCATGATTAACTTATTAATTTAGGATATAAAGTATAGATACAGAATATTTTCTCTATGTGTGTGTGTGTGTGTGGTCTACTAGAATCTATACTTCTTTTCATTTTACACAGCTTTCCTAGATTTTCACTTGAATCATTTTAGCGTCTGTGAAAGAGATAGACTTGTTTCCAAAATGTTATCAAATAATCATATTAAAGCCTTAATTTTCTTTATCAAAACAGAGTATATCTACTAGTATTAAAGTTAAATGTGAAGTGAAATGTTATTTAAAAAAGAGAGAGATGCTTTTTAATTTGTGCATAAATTTGGGACATTAAATCATTGTGCTGTTGTGTATCGTCAAGTCAGAACTGACCTGTAGCTGACCCTACAGTGAGTTTTCAGAGGCAGTAAATGGCATGAGATTTGACTTTTCTTTTTCCTGTGGAGCTGGTAGATTCGAACCATTTACCTTTACATTGAAAACATACCACTAAGCCACTAGAGCTCCCAGAATAATTTTAACATTTACAATTATTTTAACATTATTAAATATTATTTGAATTATATAGACTATACTTTTTTAAAGTACTAACGGATTCTTTTTCAAACTATAATGGCCTTTAGCAAAGGTACATTGCTCCACAACCATATAAATATCCAAGTCTTACACAAGTATTTATTACTTAATACACATATGCCCATGATCCATGATGTTTTTATATATTTAATTTTTTTAAGAGAAAGAAGCTCTCCTTTTTTTTTGTCTTTGCAATGACTTGCTATGCATCAAAAAGCTGGACAATGACTAGGGATGATAGAAGGAAAATTGATGCCTTTGAGTTGTGATGCTGGAGAACAGTATTGAATATACCATGACCTGCTATGAGAACAAACAGGTTCATCCTAGAGATGGTAAGACCAGGCTGATTTTTGGAGACAAGGATTCTGAAGCTCCATCTGACATATTGTGGACATGTTGCAATGAGGGACCAGTCCTTGGAGAAGGATGTCATACTTGGGAGGATGGAGGGACAGCGCAAGAGAGGAAGACCCTTGATGAGACAGATTGATTCAGTGACTGGGATTATGGGGGTAGGTGTGTCAGAGACAATAAGTTTGGTACAGGATGGAGTAGGGTTTAGGGCTGTTGTACATAAAGTAACTATGAGTGGCAGGTGACTTAATGGCAAATAACAACAACAACAATGGTTTTAAAGAGAGCTCTGGTGCCTTAGTGGTAAGATCAGTGTTTCCAACACAAGGTACGTAGTTTGGATCTACCATCTGTTTTGTAGGTCAAAGATGGGCAGAGAAAGATGGGCAATCTTCTCTTGTGCAAATGCCTCTGAAAAACCACAGGAGGGTTAGCCGTAGGTCAGTTCCCACTTACTGGTATACAATGACAACAATGGTTTTTAAGACTCCAAGCCTAGCCTCTTGAAGAACTGGACCATGAGGGAGCTGTAGGTGGGACCCTTGAACTTTGTTAGCAGGTAATGAAGCATTCTGGGCTACAGAGGCTGAGCTCCTGCTGTTGGACAGGCAAACAATGGACAGGGATGGGCTTGCTCTCTTCTTCCACCCCTCTGGCCCAGTGATGTCCACTAGCAGTCCCAGAACACTACGTTGAGTTGCATTGGCAAGAAGATCAAGGATAGGTAGAAGTGAGGTCCCAACTGATATTTGGACAATGCCCAAACACTATGTTCCATTTCTCACGGACGTTAAGTAACACTTCCTTTTGCAATAGACCTTTCACTGGTTTACTTCTTTCAGTGAGATATCATCAAGGTGCATTCAATTTTTTTTTTTTACATATTTGCCAACACCTGTTGTTTTCTGCTTTATTGAGTTTATACAACCTGGTGGTATGGAGCTGTGCTGCCAACTTAAAGGTGGGCAGTTCGAAACCGCCACCTGCTCAGAGGGAGAAAGACAGGCATTCTCCTGTATATTTTATTGCCTCTGAAATCCTACTGGAGGGTCAGCTACAAGTTCTGACTCGATGGATGTAACAACCGCAGTAGGCATAAAGGGAGCTCTGAGGACCTAGTGGATAGAGTTGCCATCTGGAAGGCACACTATTTGAATCCACCAGCTGCTTCAAGAAAGATAGACAGATAATCTCCTTTCATGCCATTCACAGCCTCTAAGAGGCTAGACTTGCTAGAGGGTCAGCTATGAGTTGGTTCCAACTGTACGGCACTTGACAACAGTCAGTAAGT